ACATGTACTTTCCTGACTTTTTTTCCCATTCTACATGTCTTTCTTTAAACAGACTTATAGTAAAAAAAAAAATATTTGTTGCTTCAAATAAACAAATCCAGAAATACAGTGCATTATTTAAGATCAATATCTTGGAAAGATGATAAGGAAAATATTTTCTCATTTCCAGCTTACCCTTTAACATTCATCCAATTTTTTGTCACTAAAATAAAGGCATCTGGAGCACCAGACAAAATGGCTTCCATCTCTAATAGCTACAAGAATACAAGAGTTTTTCAAATAATCATGTATATGCAGAGTATATAATATATGTTTTGACAGCTTTAAATTTAAACATACACATGTATACAGTGGACCTTCAGATATCCTAACGCCAGATATCCAGATGCTTCAGTATCCGGACGATTTTTCATCGGAACGAAATTTTCAAATGTTATTTTGTTTTGTTTAACTATTGATTCAGATATCCGGATGCTTCACATATCCAGACAAATTGACTGGGAACCAAAGCGTCCGGATAAATGAGGGTCCACTGTATATCAAACAATTTCTCAGGAAAGATTAACTGACTATAAGATTAAAGTTTAAAAAGTAGAATATATTTTAGCATTGTCTCATGCACATTTTAACAGCTACATTGGTATCTGATTCACATGTTTATTTACAATATAATGCGTCAGCACACTTTTGAAACAAACATTTCTGAAAAAAGACCTAAATAAGTGATAAGATGGATTCAATAGATCAAGAATACTATCTTCGAATTAAGTCATTTATTTGAAAATATAAATGTATTAGTACAATTTAACCAACCTTTCCACTTGGAATCTTTCCAAAAACAAACTTGTTAACAGACATTATGATGCCCATGGCCACTGAGTATATTACAGCACTGCAACAAAGAAAGCGTAAATAAAGTGAATGCATCGCTACACTTTAAAATCATTTTAAAAGGAATACAATGTTTTATTGCTCTTTTTTCTGCAAAGGGCTGATCTTTTTCAATAAAATATTGCATGAAAAAATCTAGCAAATGAAGGCTTTTGGTAAGAAATATTTAAATTAAATAATAAAAAGCAACAAACCTATTTCCCCTTGTGAGTGGCATCAGATTATAAATGTAATACATCATTGTCAAAATTTTATCCATAACTGAGTCTGTGTTCTGCAATAAACATTTCTAAATTCGCTTAAAATTTAAAATCAAATCTGTTATATATGTTTGTAAAATGAAATACATGTACATGTAGCTTTCATCTTCATTAGTTCGAAATATTTTCTAATCAAGATGTAATCTATAATGACACAATAAATGTATCTGAATTCGGTAATTTAGCTTGTTTAATGGAATATAAATAAATAAATGCTTTACTTTTAGTTATACATTAAGAACTTCAGCTTTTTGCTTTACCTACCAGTGCTTTGCCTATTCCTATTCTTTTTATTTCTTCTTGAATCTGATTAAACACTGCATCTATTTCAGCATGGTAGAGTTGAGTACGAGCTTTGTTATTAACAATACTAATGGCAAAAGTCATCTTGTTACTCCTACAAAATAGAGCAAATACAGATTTTATCAGTTAAACCAGAGAATGCTATGCAAGGGAGCACAAAACATTCTGCTGAAATTGTAAGGTTTTATTCACTTCATATAATTAAATGTAATTTACTTACATATCACGTGACAAAACAACCATAGAACCATCTAATCTCTCATCATTCCTTGAACTTGGCACTTGTGTAGAAACCATGAAACCATTTTCATTTATATTCCGTTTCTACAATAAACACATAATAAAAAAAATCTTTTACAGTGAATGTACAAGTTTAATCTGAGCTGATTCTTGTTACGGTTAATTATGTATGACATTTCTAATATTTTTATTCATGTTCACTGTCCCAACTCACTCTAGCTATCATCAGTAAATCTTCACATGTTTTTGCTCTTTCAACATCTTGTCTTAAATCATGATAAAAAATTGCCCCATCCCTGAAAATAAATGTGATATTTTTTTATTTCTTACAAATCTCAATATTAAATTTCTTTTCATGACTGGTTGTATCGTACAACTCTTTCAAAGACAATGACAAAAATTTACTTACCCTGCATAATGTTCCAGCATGGTTTTAGCTAGCTTAAACACCAAATCATAATACTGCATAACTTTAATATTTTGCACATCTCCTCTGCAAGAGATAGAAATACATGTATTTAATTCTGTGGAATCATCATCGTTCAGGGGGAATCAATATTCATGGATTTTGCGGGTCACCTTTACCCACCAATTTACATCCCCAGGAATGTTAATTTTGTTAACATACTGATTCATTGAACAACCAAACAAGCGAGGCCCACGAAATTAAGTCCCCATGGACAAGTCAAAATACATATATACTGAATTCTAAAACATTTCTATCCTCAATATTTTCAATGATAGAAATATAAATATTTGTAAAAAAAAAATTCTTAATGAAAATTGACATCAATTTACATGTAACTTGGCTGATATGTAATACATAGTTATACTGTACTTGATAAAGTTAATCTCAGTGTGATATCCATCGTCTGTGGCATGGTCAGGCATTTTGTCTAACCAGAAAATTGGCTGTTCAGGATCAATCAACCTGCGATACTGAACCGCTATACTAAAAACCTCCCTCCAATCCAGGGATCTATCTGAAATGTCATTAGTTTCTCTATGTAGAAATTGCAAGGACAAACTGGAATAATTTTTATTAGAATGTCTTTGAGTATCTACCATAGTAACATTCATTACCTACCTATTTGTTTATTTAATCTTATTTCTCTCCACCTTTTCTACAAAACAAAATCACAAAGATTTTAATAGTGTAGCTAATGTACATGTACCACATAGTCAATTTCTTTTTCAATTTATTCAAAAACTGTTAAACCAGCTGGTACATACTGAAAAGATTCTTTCAACTGATTGCAATTTCATGGATCATATAATATATAATTCTGTATAAATACATGTAGAAATATAAAACCTTACATCTAAGAGTTGAGCAATATGCATTGATGCCAGCCCCATGGCAAAATTATGTCTTCTACTTGGTAAATAGCCATCTGCTGCTACCTGCATGGACAGACCAACTCTGTGAGCTTTACAGATCAGCCCTTGAAGTTCTCTACCATACTCCATAATAGATACATAGGAAACATCACTGAAAAGAAAAAAAAATAGCATGCATATAAGTACATTGTTTATGTTTTTGTAAATAAGTTTTCAATAGTTTAAAATTGGTATAGCCATGGTTAATATCTATGAGAATTTTTTGTTTTAAAAGATAAAACTACTAAATGGAAGCCCCATTAAGCTATTGATCAAATCCTACTCTTAATCTTATAAGTACATTTTCTCCTAAGAATGACATAATGGGAGCCTAACTTATTTACTTCTGAGCTGCATGTAGATAATTACAATACAATCTTCAATGACAGGTACCTGTTTTCTAATTCAAAAAAATACAAGCCCCTACTTAATAAATCAGAAAAGAAGACAAGATTATATATTCTTTTATAAGAAAAACATATCTTAAGTGCCTGTGCCTTACTTAATTTCAGGCTGAAGCCCAGGTTGTTCTTTATAAGTATTCTTAAACTGGAAAGGAAACTGTTTAGTCCACCTGTCTTTGAATTCAGGATGAAAATTATCTATATTTAAATCCACTAATGGTGTATCCAGTTTTGAATGAAGAAATCTTGCATATTCTGAAAAAGAAAACTTACAGTATGTAAAACAACATAATTTTTGATAGGCTATAATTATTGTTTTTATGTACATATGCAGAGTCTTTTTCATCTCATAGCATTAGTTGGTATTGTACAATTTTTTTCCTCTTTTCATTACACCTCTAGTAATACCGTAAATCTGGAAATTTTTATGTCGATTTTATTTTGTGAATTCGGGTTCAAATGGTGTTGATTAATTTTTACGTTTCAAAATTTTGCGAATTACCACTGCTTTGTTTACATTTTCTTATTTGTAATTTATTTTTAAGAAAAATATTTTTGCGAATGCAATGAACTCGCAAATTTGCTAAAAATTTATCTACAGCAAAAATTTCCAGATTTACGGTAGTGTTCTACTGACCTCGGAGATAGTGGGCCTTGATAAACTCAGGTGTGGCTTTAATGGCTGGAGTATTATTTATCATCACCTAATAATAGAGAATCACACACTGGTTAGACTGTTAAAATATAATTTTATGCACTTATCAACTGGTTGTGACTGTACTTTCATTTGTCTGAGCAATAAGTAAGACATGTACAATTTTTATTTCACTACATGTATCATCACTGACACACAGAAATATAACGTGAAACCAATTACAGTAAAACTTGGTTTTAGCAAAGTCAATGGGACCTATGAAATTACATTGCTATAGCCGTAATTCGTTATATCTGTATAAGGAATTCATAAAATTTACATAGATTGGGATCCAAGATAACTTTCCTATATCCGTGAATTCGCCATATCTGTGTTCGTACTAAACATTCAGATCAACCTATACTGATGTACTGAGCAAACACCACAGTAATTTCATAACTCACTTTCATAGATGACTTGAGTCCCTGGTAATATTTTCCCAAAGCAATATAAGTCAAGGACTGCATATACTGACAGTTTATATTGGACGGATTAATCTTCAAGCATTTCTGCAATTGAACAAATTTCATGAGATTTATTGGAAATAAAAGATACATGTTAAAAAAATAAGATGTCTATTACTATACTACATGTAACTGTAACTTATTCTAATGTTTTTATGTTTTGGTTGGTTTTTTTTTTGTCTTAATTACTCAGCTAGGTCAATCTTTTCATATATGAACATACATATAAAATACATGGTAACTGTCTTGAAATATTAGCAATATTTGGGTGTGGCTAAGTAAACGTGATGGAGGGCAAGGCTTGCCGAGTCCTTCATCACATTTTCAACCCAAGCCCAAATATCGCTTATACATTGTATTTCAAGACAGTGACCATGTATTTTGTTTATCCTGCATATATATCTGCATCTCTATATCTGCAGAGTATACTAAGACGCCATTACGCATACATTGCAATATATATGATGTCACAAACTCACAATGCTTTGAGAACATCAGAATACATGCACGGGGATTTATTAAGACATTAGTCGAATAAAGCTTTACTTTATTAGGTCAATGCAAGGGGTACTTGCAGGATAAATACCCGGTACATATAGTATGCTATTTGCTTTTAAGAGACTTACATCAAAATTAAGTTTGGCAGCTCTGTGTTCCCCAATCGTATATAACATGCTCCCCCACAACTGCCAAGTCTGAGCATGATTGGGGTTCATATGAATGGACTGATTAAATCTCTTCCAAGCTGGCTTTAAATTTCCCAGTTCTCTGGAAAAAAAAATCCATGGATTGCATACATTGAAAATATTATTTCCATTTCCTTCCCCATTCCCTCTTTCCAAAGTTGTGTTTTATCTGTTAGAAGCATGGCTAAAATGGTGGATTTTACATTTCCTCAACAAGGAAGTATTAAAGTTTAAGTGAAATATCTAGGTCAGTAAAGCAGTTTACACATTCATACAGTGAAAAGACAGTCACGTGTACATATCAGTAAATGTCATTGGCCAGTTCTTAAGTTTAATGTTCACATTCTTTACCATCACAAAACTCCCAGAAATCTTATGATACCTGAATGCTTGGCCTAAGCTAGTTGATGCTTCTACATGATCTGGCTTTAATTTCAAAACATCTTTAAACACCTCAATGGCATTCTGAAAAGAAAACATGCCTATCTGATTAATCCATCGTTCTTATCTTTAAAACCCATGTCAAGTGCTGATTGAAGACTCTACAACAAATGTCATCATTTGATTTGAAGATAAATTTCCTGTCCTACAAATACAGTAAAAACTGTCTTCTCTGAAGCCTGCACAATTTGTTTTAATGTGGATTTTGACCCTTATTTTGATTCATATTTTCTTTCCAATGTGCAATGTGACACCCTGTATATTCCGACACAAAATCTGTCTCCAAGTTCATGTTGGTTTAAATAGGTTTCACGGTAGTGCATGTTAGATTAGACAGGTTTCAATGTAATAATCAATTTAGTCTTCTTCTTTTTTGATCTTACTTACTCTAACTTTTCCTTGATAATACAGGGCCAAACCAAGATGGAAGTTGGAGCCCACATGTAAAGAATTTTCTGGGTCTAAATTTTTCCTGAAATCTTCCTCTGCCTCGGCAAAGTTCTACAATAGGATCACCATATGCTTAAAACTCATGTCTTTAATGGATTATAGTTATACTTATTTATTCTTTTTAATATGCATAACATACAGAAATTTTAAGAAACATGATACATGTACAAACTGCTCAATCTCATCAAGCTGGTTTTGAATTTTACAACATGATATGAACCTTTTACTATAAATATGTCAGAAAAACTAAAAGAAATACATGTACATTGTAGTATGAAAAATTGAAATGATAAGGACATTCTAATATAAAAAGTCCATACCTCCAACAAAAGATGAACAATGCCTCGAATGAAGTATAGCCGCTTGGAAGGACTTGATTTGGCAGCCATATTAAGATCTTTCAAAGCATCCGCAAAATGTTGAATAGCTATGTAGGACTACATTTAAAAAATAAAATTGATTTATAGAAAGTGTGTCCACAAAAACTATATTAGAAAAACATCTTCAGTGGAAATAACTATAAGGTGAGATAGAAAGTAAAGTTTATACAATATGCATCAATGAAACTGTGTGACAGCTAGTATACTGGATATCATAAATAAAAAAAATTGTGTTTCTAAGTGCTTTTTCAAGCATAAAAAATAAGCAGTTGTATTAAATATTGTATTAAATATTGTACCATTAGGGTTACAGTCACATGAAGACCAAAAAAAGTTTATGAAATGATGTGCTAGACAAACCTCTGCTCTTCTTTCATAAATTTCATGGTAGCTATTGTCTTTCATTATGGCTTCAGTGAATTCACGAATACTTTTAGCAGCATTTGCAATTTCCTGAAATAAAAAGCTATCCTTACTATGTGTTAGTATTGAAAAAAATATATATCCAAATATTCAAATGTTTGACAATTGATGTATACATAATTTCCTGTACATGCAAGCATTCAAATTTTATGTCAGACCTAAACTGAATAGAGAAAGTAAAAGTCTCATGCAGTATAAGGTATTATACCTGAATTCCCATTCTCTGGTATACAATACCCCGACCATAATGTGCTCCAACTGTATCTGGATGATACTAAAAATAATTTTCATAAGAAAATGAGTGACATAAATTCACCAAGCATCAATGCAGCTGCCAATGGGTAATTAAATGATCTAGTTCAACAATGAAGATATTTATTTCTCACAAATCAAACTTGTATATTTTGTCCAAAGTCCTAAGTACAAAAGTAACAGCACTGTGTTGATTTTTCTTCAATTCATTGAAAAATAAACCCGCATTTTTAATTTGATTCAAAGTATGTCAGTATCCACTAATATCCTACATACTGAGAGAATGCTGTTGAATATCTGCATAGCATCATCAAGATTCCCGATATTTATTGACACAAATCCAAGAGCTGAAATGAAAAGGAAACTGTGTATATGAACTTTAAAAGTAAATATAAATTTATAAAACCACATGACTGCATTTCATACAAAGGGAGACAATCTTGATAAGAATGAAAACAAACTTACCTAATTTTGAATCAATGTCATAATTTTTTGTTTGCATTGGGACCATCTCAGTAGCTGCAAGGTCTTCTGCTAAATCCTGAAAATTTATGAACTGGATTTATTTATTATTTCAACAAAATTGTTAATAATTTATTCAGAACAAGAGGGTCATACATTCTTTATAAAAGGACCTTTATCTGTAAAAATAATTAAAACTTAATGGAATATATTTCTTTGAAAGATATCTGAAAGTTTAAAATTCCTATTTCAATTTGCAATACTCATGATACTTCAATTAATGTAATTAAAATTGAAAGGTCTAAATTTTATGAGATTGAAATAAATTTCATTGATAGCATGGAAGATATAGTTAAAGGTTATGTATGTTTGTGCATACAGGACCTAAATTACATTTACATAGCAGTCAAAGGTAAATGTCTGATCAATCATAATGTATATTAATTTATACCCACCTCGGGGGAATGGTCACAAGAAAGAGTATCTCTGGAGCAGTGACCTCGGTCTTTAGCATTTGAGCATAGACCAGTAGGAAGCTTGGCTGAGTTCTCCTCTGCAAGAAATAAATGCACAATTTTTTTTAATTCATACAAAATCATAATAATATTAGACATACTGGAATAATCATAATTCCCATCCACAGGACAGACAGATTTTTATACCATTTATACATGTAAATATTTTTCCAGTATATTCCCTTTGTGATAAAAGTGTATGAAAGTGAAAGGAAAAGAATTTGATATCAAATCAGTGGGTTCGAATTCCCCTGGGTACAAATCCTGTAGAAACTGTGTACATAAAATTGGTGCAATGCAACGCAATGTACCTTTGTGTTAATTCATGATAAATACAAAGTTCACAAACAATAATTATCATGCATGAATGACCTACTAATAAAAAAAAACTCTTACCGCAATCTGTTGCCACCTCCCCAACTGCAATGAAAACATTAGAGCGAATAGGGGTTAGCCGAGGAGACGAGTTCACCGTGTTCTGTGAGCAAATGGCGCATGATTCGCCATTTACAGGTTCTAAGCGTTTAACTTCGAATATCTGAGTAGTCCCATCTTCATTTTCCACTTGAAATTTTTCTACATCGTAAACATTATTTGCAAATAAACACGAAACAAGACATGTAAACACGAGTAGTAGTCTGCCTTCCATGTCATCGTTTGAGTTTTTTACCTCCACCAGAAAAGAGTTCAGTAGACTTTGTACTGGCGCCCGTTTTTGAACTCTTAAATACTTTATTTTCCAAAAAGTGAACAAAAACCAAATGGGGACATATCTTTAAAAATTAGAATAGTAAAACCACATAAAACATTACATAATCAGTGATATTTAATCGAAGTTTAGCGCCATATTGTCATCAAATCAATATTATGACGTTAGGAAATGACGTATAATTAACTTCCGGTTATTGGAAGAAAGAAAGAATGGGTGTACCAGAAATTAATCTCACGGAAAAAAGAAGATGCTTAATTGCCAAAATAGCCAGTGTTTTGTGTCTGGTCACCATTCCATTTAATTTCTTTATGCTTACAGTAGCTGTTTATATTGAAGTTGCAATACAAGACAAAGTTAGTCTTATTGAAGGGAGTCGGGACGCATTGCCTGCCTTTATGATTATTTTGGGCCTTGCTGGACTGATTATTAACATCTTAGCGTCACGAGTTTGCTGGGTTGTGCATGACACGGCGAGGAGAGATGTTTGGAAAAAGTTTCTAATTCCAGTTTTTGTTCTTTCTTTGGTTTTATTTGTGTGTACTTTTGTTGCATCTATGCTATGTTTTGCAAACATTGCTTCACTTCGTAAGTTATTTAGCAAAGGAATTTATATTTCCATGAAAAAGTATGCAACAGACATGCCAAAGAAAAGTATCATCGACAAGTTACAGATTCAGTATAAGTGCTGTGGTTCAGAAGGATACACAGATTGGTTCAAAGTCAAATTTGTATCAAAGAAATACATTACTGATGAATATATGACAAAAGAAGAACAGCATACATACACGTAAGTTTATCACAATCATATCTAATTTGAAATCCAGACAGATTAATTTATGCCTTTCACATTATATCTAATGCCTTTGAACTTTATTTTTTGAATCTCTCTAAGAGATGTCTGAAATGGTATTGTAGATCTTTAGGTCTATTCAAGGCTATTATTTTCTTATAAGATTTCCTGAAAAATGTCACTATATTAGAGTGATTTATAAGTAAAGAGTAAGTTTAAATCTAAAGGGAAATAACCGAAATGGTAAATATAATGTTAATGTTTAAGGGGGCTGGGTGGTCGTGGCCATTTTTAGACTATTTTAATCTTCATTAAAAGAAGAGCTCCATATAAAGATCTAATAAAATGATCAAATTTTAAAGCTAAAATTTATGAAATTTTTCTTTGCCAAATGATAGTTGACAGCTTAAGATCATATCATATCCCAAAATTTAAGTTATATCTGGTGTTTGATAAAAAAAATAATTAGTTGACCCCCTAGCCTCCTTAATTGTGTATTATGAAGTAGACTGGACTTTTTATGATGGATATATTTTAAATTATTGAAGTATTCATGTATTGATTTTTTGCAGAAAGTTTTCCGACCATGTTCCCTTTAGCTGCTGTAACTACAAAGTCCACAGACCCTGTATAGACACTCGAGTACAAGGCAAACACTTCAAGTATGACTACAGCAAAGACATAACAGTATATACAAGAGGATGTAGTGATGCGTTAATGTCAAGATATAAAAAGATGTTAAAGTCTGCAGGGGCTATTGTTGTCTTGCTGGCATTCTTGGAGGTAGATAAACCATTTTTCTTAATCGTTCTGAATTTCTCATGATTTTTAGCTTATATTAACTGGATATTTAAGTTGCAGATACACAGTAGTAAGTTACATTTGTAATACATTTTTTAGGTAAAGAAATATGCTCAATTGCCAATTTTGTTCTTTTGAAAAATAACAATAGACAAGACTTCTATTAAAATCTATTGTATTTATTTATTTATAACAGCTGAGTATAGGATTAGGAACAAGACTCTTACAGACAAGCTTTGCAAACTTAGTTGATGATGAAGATTCAAAGGGTTTTCTTCTTCCATTTGGTGGAGGTCAAGCACAAGGCAAAGGTAAACTAATGAGAAATTTTTGTTTCTTCAAGAAGTAACCACACAACAATTTAACAATGTGAAGACAGGTTATAAGTTAATGGTTAAAACAAGCAAATTCCAAGAATTGTGGTCCCCCGCTTTTGGTGTCTCTGTGGATGAGATGTCATTATTTGTGACATTTTGTGTCAAATATGAACACCCTATTTTATGTCATTCACAAAATTCATGATCACCAAAGTTAATTTTTTTTTAAAATGAGGTCAATTGTGAAGGTCAAGGGGTCAGAAATCATAGCATACTTGGAAGTATCTTAGGTAATGCAACATGTCAAATAAGAAAGCCCTATCTTTTATCAATCAAAAGTTATAATGAAAAATTAACATTTGCGAAAAGTAGGTCAAACTTCAAGGTCACAAGATAAAAAAAATCATGTGCATTTAGAGAGGTCTTGTCACAGGCAATACACCGATTTAATTTGAAAACCCTCTATCTTCTCATTCAAAAGATAAGTTTAAGTTTCTGAAAAGTAGGTCAAACTTCAAGGTCAAGGTCAAAAATCATAGTGTATTTAGAAAGGTCTTTCACAGGTAATACACATTTAATATGAAAGCCCTATCTTTTCTCATTCAAAAGCTATGGCCCATTCAATGTAATGTTTAAATTATTTAAAAGAAGGTCAAACTTTAAGGGAAGTCCAGGGTAAAAATCATAGGTTTTTTGAAAGTTTTTGTCACAGGCAATCACATTTT